GTTGTTCCACAACGCCTTCCGACGTAGATTCCCCAGGGAGGAAGACGGGCTGATTAAAATATTCATCGCCTTCTGCATCCGACCCACCCCCGCCAGGCTCGCCACCGCCCCCGCCTTCATCATCACCAGGCGCGCCAGCGCCCGCGTTTTCTATGTCATCGTCACCCTCCGACGGAGCCCCCCCCGTCACACACCTCAGCGCCGCAAGCAGTTCGTCTTTCCGCCACGAAATCTTGCCTGTAGAACTGCCGGCCTCTCTGATGAGAGCTAGTATCGTCTTCTTGGTAAGCTTTTCAATTTCAGGCACCGTCATTCCACCAAGCGACTCGAGATTGACTACAGGCGATACCGAGATGGCGTTTTCTTGCGGTTTAGGTCCCGCGGTACCAGCCTTTACCTCACCACTCCCGGCAACGGCCTTAAGCTTACTCCGCAGGGCAAGAGACGCTTTGTCTTTGCTAATCGACGACACTTGACTAACATGCCGTGTGTAGTCCCCCATGCGGCAGTGGTGCCATTTCTGGACGATGAAAAGGAAAACCTCACGAGCGACCTTGGAATCCAACTCGAAATTCACGCTTCCCGAGGAGGGTGGGCAGCACTCAGCCCACTCATCCCTGATCGCGGTCGCTTCGCTGACCACCCGCAACATCTCACCCGGAAGGTCTCCGAGATATGCTCCTAACAGACAGGGCTTAGAAAGGATGTGGAAGTACCCGATCTCCAAAGCATATGTGAACTCAAAAAACGCTTTCGTGGCAAACAGGAGTCCAGCACCGTTGATTTCGTCGTTCCTCCTCTCCACTTCACCTACTAAGTGCTCCAGTTCCTTATCCTTCTCTACCGCAGCTTCCGCGGAAGCGGACTTGTTGAGATCTACAAAGGACACCCACTCCCTCTCCTCGATCTTTTGCCGTCTCACGTGCGTCCAGACCTTGCTGAGCAACCACCCGCTGATGTAATACAGCACTTTCGCCCGTGGTTCGGTGACGCGGGTGTTATTGTCGGGATACGACAACTTGATCAAGTTCGCTTCCTTCTTCTTCCGCACAAAAACGCCGTAGAGCTCCTGGTGATCAACACTGTACAGAAGCAACAGCCGGAGCATGCGGCGAAGGGGGTGTACGGGTTGACAGTTGTGAAGGGGGTGTACTGCAGTTGAGCACACGATACAAACGACTGAACGTGACGCCAGCCGAAGCCTACAAAAAACGTACGGACGACACTAGTGGGTGGCTTGTTCCCCCAACAAGAGACACGGGTTTCGGGTAGCACCCCGGTGCCATTGGCTGCACACACTCAGGGCACTCGGTCTAGCTTCTTGGGCGAAGGAATTCGGGCGCTAGATAATTACGCCTCAAATCATCATTATGACTTGTGTACACCTACTATGGCTCTCATGGAAGATTTTCAGTTAGTTATAGCCGAGACGCACCTCATCCACTTGGTTGATGATGCCTCACAGCTCATGCCTGGTTCGTTTGGTGTTTCTACCACTCGTCCGTGCCACCTTCTGGATATCCTGATGATTTATCCACGCCTTCAGTCATGGCGCCCAACTGGCGAACCGGGCCAAGGTGAAGTTCGACGCTTCCTTCGTTGACCCCTTTCCTTTGCTGACTCTAGCTTGGACATCCACCAGCGAAGCCCACGATGCCGCTATAAACAAACGGGTGGGGGCAAGGGACTTGACCTGTACCCAGAGGTCAAGAAGCTAAGGAAAGTGCTCGCGGAAAAGACCTTCGGCGGCGGCGTCCACCTTCTCGCCAACATGAGCAGCGTCCCTGATCTGAGACGTCTGCTGGTCGACCATCCCCCGAACCATGGCCGCGTGTGCCTCCTGCAGTTGGTGCACGTCCAGAAAAGTGGCAAGGGGACGAGAACGAAGTCATCCTACCGTCCAGGAAAACCACTGCACAGAGAACGCATCAATCTATGCAGGCTACCCCAGAGGGACGACGAGGGCTACGCACTGCCCGAAGAAACGCCACGTGCGAGAGACCATGCTGAGTTTACGACGATAAACACTGCTCATCCCTTCTGCCACACTATTTTGGACCATGTATGCGCAACATTGCTCTAAGTGGAGGAATTTATTAGGGATAACTCCCGAGTGCAAACATCTTCGACGGGGATGAAGGCCTCAATTCTGCCCCAACTGACCTGATTATCCCCGATATTATCCGTCGCGTTTCCCAAGCTCTCGACCCCCTCCAGTAGTAGAATGTCGCTTTCCATCTCGTCATCCAAGTCTTGCACTTCGAAACGGACGAGACGCAACGGCGGGCGGCAGGGGCTATTTAGACCGGGCTATCTTAGATGCACATTCGGAAGACAATCCAGCCGATCCCGAAATCAAAACCAGCAGTTCTATACCCGTTTCTAAATTACGGCAATATGGAGTAATTTTCAAACGGGGGTGGTGAATCAGCGAGGGAGGGGGTCGAGTTGCATTGGTTCCATTCCCCTGCCTACATTGCAATAACAGCGAGTTGCAACAACGCATGTATAAGGGTCTCCCCAACAACTACCAGATACGAGTCCCTTGCGGCAGCAGAGGGTACAAATGAACGCGAGAACTTCGGGGGAACGCTGCCTTAAGAACTCTAGGTATCTACAACACGGCCGAAGTTGAGGCATACAATAGATGACCATGTCCCACTTCACGCGATTTTTTTTATACATGGCGCTGGTGTTCGGCGCGAATGGGCAGTGCCCCTACAATGATGTAAAGTGATCTACACTAGGGGAAAGACGACAGCAACCAAACTTGTGATGTGACTATGTACCACGGGCGCGCGCGGATGAGGTCGTACATGTCAAAAGTGGGGTGGTCGTAGTATGCTAGAGTCGGAACGTACAAGTTATCTGACAACTTCTAGTCTAAAGACATATCAACGTTTTTAAGGGCTTTTTCGGGCTGTTGCGCGACGAGGTCGTATGGTAAGTGACATCGCACGCAAGGTATGCTATGCATATGAGTACAACAACGTACAGCTGCACTCTCTGCCTGGCATGCACTTACCTACGTTATTACAAATGAGAGACATTTTCAAACTTTTTTATCAAGGCTTTTTCGGGCTTTTGGTACAATGCATAGCGTAGACCATGATCGATCGTAGACGTTTCTGTCTGGAAGATTTGACTTTGCTCGATACACACTGGACGGATTTAGACACGGATTGTTTCCCTAGATAGATCAGGAGGTGCAGATATGCCTGGCCGGGGAATATATGGGGCAATCACAACTACGTGGAGAGCATCAGTTGCTGGCACAGAGGGTATGTCGAATGGTGGGTGCCTTTCCCTGATTCCCACAGGTAGTTGCACATCGGGTTATGGGCTCACCGGTGACAAATTTGGATGACACCTTGGCCTCCACCCTTGCCTGTGATGGTCCCGAGACTCCCAAGGCAGTTCCACGCCTCCACGAGGCAGGTGCAGCGAGGTATCGTGTGTGGAAGAGAGTGTGATAGCGTGTCCGCCTTGCTGACGCAAAACGTCCCCTTTTGACGCATAAGCCTTCATATTATTGTACTCCCGGCTTGCAGCTAGCGTGCGGCGGAACCTCAAAATTTACCTCGAAAAAAAAAGAGTTTCATTCCAAGCTTCGCTCTATATTGTCATCTTCCATGCATGTAGCTCTAGACCAAACAGGGAACAGGGAGCAAGGAACTCGGAATTCCCTGTTCCCTGTTCCGCGTCGTTGTGTCTTAACATACACCTCATTTCCAGGGAACATGGAACACTTGAGCGCGCGCGTGCGGCCCGCATGTCCTCAAAGGTAGCAAATTCAACCATCGGATGAGAAAGACGAGTGGGGGTTAGAGGAAGGAGGAGGTAGTGTAGGTTTCGAAGGCACCTGTTGACGAGCGTGCACATGAAATACATGTGCTAGGTATCGGCAGGAACAGGCGGTGCTCGTCATGCAATCCGCACCCTCGACAGCAGTGCTCTGTCTGGAAGGCTTGCTTTTTGAGTTGTGGTCCATTGCAGCTTGCCGTTTCTTTGACGCTTTATGTTCCCCCATACAATGGCCTCGCGACCATCCGCCGCCGTTTTTTTTTGCATGCGAGTCCAAGCGAGACACGTGATGATGCGGCAATGCTTGCATGTTGCTTGAACTGGTAGCATGCAGCCTGTGGCAGCCACATGCCCGAGACATCCCACCACGTCCTGAATTGCCACCGAAGAGCCCGTGTTCCACGTTCCCCCCTATGGTCTGTTGGCTATAGTTTTAATGGACGTGTTCCTTAAAATTATTGTACGGCGTAAGGAGCGCTCAAACGAGACCACAAGCCAACAGCCAATGGGGCGGGAGGGGGGCAGGAGACGGACGGGACGGCGAGGGAATAATGTAAACGAGAAGAGACGGACCGAGTGGTGTGATACGTGCCGGATCGAATATTTTTGGCCAATTCTCCCCCCCAACGCTGCACTACCAACCCCCCACCACCAACCCCCCACTAGTGATGATGTACCATTACCATGTACCGCTGGTTGGCGGCCATGTTTGCGTGTTTGTTTGTTGTCTGTTGTTCGTTTTCGTTGTTAGTGGTCTCTACTCCGTGTGCCTTATTCTGTCTCTTATTTCTTATTATTTTCGGCCTGGTCTCTTTTTGTCCTCGCTCTTTTTCGTTTTCGTTTTCTTTTCTCCTTTCTTCCTGTTTCCTCATGTTTCATTTTTTTTTTTTCTTAATATAGTCTATGACACAACGAATGAATCCATTTCTATCATAGAAAAGAGTCTGAGACAGATTAGCAATGAATTCATAGCGTCAGAAAGTACCTGTATGTCTACGGTTTCCCAGGCAGCATATAGGGACATCTCCCCTGCGGATAACAGGTTCAACAAGACAGTTTGGTAGCTGTCTTGTGTGTCTCATATATGTTATGGAGGAACAGAGAAATAAAAAGAGGGAAGGGAGCAAGCTCGTTGCTCCTGGCTTCGGGTACTCACAGTTGTTGTTTGATCTCTTGTTTTAGCCTTCTTAGACCAGGTCCGCTCGGCGCCCACTCGGAGAGTGAGGGAGCGGGGCTGGGATTTTGATCTTCCTTCAAGCTACTTCAATACCCCTCAACGTCGCCAAATATCCATATCCAAAGAAAATTCAAAATATCCAATAAGCGCTCATGCAACGTTCATGAAACGCTCGTACAATGCAAATACACTACTAGTTGCTCCATTATATATATGTTATGTTGGGAAGGTGCAGAAGAAATGTGTTAGGTACTGGTCGGGCGTTTTGTGTGTGGCACCCTTTAAGTCGTAGGGCATGCAATCTCCCTCAGTTTTCAAACGTATTTTCAATGTGGTACGCGTCTCTGCAGCAGGAGAGCTCCCCTGCTCTCCTGCCGTGACCGGGCTGACAGGCGTGTCAGTCCTCCTTCAGTTTCGCCATCGCAGCGGGATCTGCGGTGGTGTCGAGATCAACCGACATGCATGCACCCTGTGTTGCCATGGGTGACACATGTGTGTTGTCCCCAGGGGGAAAAACAAACGACAGAACAGCAGCAGCGGCATCGTCCGCAATAGGAAAAGAGGACGGCGATACAACATCATCAGCGGGCGAGTCACTGATCGAGTGACTGGTCGAGCCCCAATCGAGGAGAGAGTGCCGGCCCTTGCCATCCAAACTCTTCAAAGCAGCGAGGGCAAAAGGCATGAGCTGATCTTGAAAACACCAAATGCACGATGCAGCAGAAACAAAATCTAGAAAGAAAAAATCGTGGATGCGAATGCGAAGAGCGAATTTTTTCGCCCGACAAAGTGGCCGTGCGCGGCCTTCTCTTCGACCGACCGGCCTTGACAAAACCGCGGTTCTGCAGACGTAACACACGGTCCGAAACCGGTGCCGGCAGAATGTCCTCCGGCCACAAATCGGTGGAGACAAGCCCCCGATCGAAATGATCAAAAACGGCACCTTTTTCGCGAATTTCTGAGATCCCTGTGAACGATTGTGCAAACGAGCGCAACCCACTACAACCAGACGGCAGCAGATCATGCCAACAAAGCAGCCATTCAGCAGCCTGTCGCCGCCATGCGGGAGGGTAGCCAAGCGCGTGAGAAGCGTAAGGCTTTCCCCCGAAAGCAGGCAGAAAGGTGTCGTCTTGGGAGCAAAGGGGCATGTCTTTTGTAATATGCACAAGGTCGAAGCATTCATGGATGGAGAGCAATCCTACGCGAGCATGCTTGCCGAGCAAATGAGGAAAGAAAGGCCAGCGTCCACCAAGCCGTCCCTTGGTGAACACAAAGCCATGCGAGGGGAAGCCCTCGCGCATGAGGCCTGTACGCCCGTCGCGCGCACAACCGGAGCAAACGCCCACACGTCAAAACAAAAAGTGCCCCACCGAGTGAGTCAGAGAGAGCAAAACCGTGCCCTCTCTAAAACCAGGTAACTAAAAAATCGAGAAGACCTAAATGCGAGACGTTCACGCGAACGATGAGCACCGAAGCGAAGGACCGGTGTCCAAATGCCCGACGACGCCACAATGTTATGGAGGAACAGAGAAATAAAAGAGGGAAGGGAGCAAGCTCGTTGCTCCTGGCTTCGGGTACTCACAGCAGTTAGTTGTTGTTTGATCTCTTGTTTTAGCCTTCTTAGACCAGGTCCGCTCAGCGCCCACTCGGAGAGTGAGGGAGCGGGACTGGGATTTTGATCTTCCTTCAAGCTACTTCAATACCCCTCATCGTCGCCAAATATCCATATCCAAAGAAAATTCAAAATATCCAATAAGCGCTCATACAACGTTCATGAAACGCTCGTACAATGCAAATACACTACTAGTTGCTCCATTACATATATGTTATGTTGGGAAGGTGCAGAAGAAATGTGTTAGGTACTGGTCGGGCGTTTTGTGTGTGGCACCCTTTTAGTCGTAGGGCATGCAATCTCCCTCAGTTTTCAAACGTATTTTCAATGTGGTACGCGTATGTACCGGGTATGTATATGTGCGGACGCATGTGGAAGGTTGTGTTGTACAACCTGGTGTTTTGTCAGAACAGTTAGAAAGATCAAAGGGGGCACCGTAGGTAAGAGAGAACTGATATGTAGGCATGTGTAACGGAAAAAAAAGAAAAAAAAAGAGATGCACCTTGCTCACCTTTCCA